CACGGCATCCGCTGGGCTTTACCGTCAGCCTCTCCCAGCCCGGGTGGGTGCCCAGCCCAGGGGAAGGGGGAAGGATGTGGTGGTGATGGCGATTTCTTTTTTTTTTCTTTTAAAGTGTGTAGAAATAATCTGGGGCAGGGCAACCTGAGTGAAGGAGGGGATCTCAGGTGACATTTGAAGAGATGTCATTGAAACTGCTGGTCAAGACTGAAAAACTTCGAGGGGAGGGAAGGGGGAGCAGTGTTAAAAAGAAAAGAGCTGAGCATGGCAAAACAGATCTGCCAGGGAGAGCCTGGGGGAGAGGATAGTTTTTGGTTTTCGTCTTGCCTGCATGGGCTACACAGCATCACCCGCAGCCCTGGACAAAGAGAGGAGCCCCGACCTGGCTCGCCTTTGCCAAGGAGGTGATCGCCACCGCTCAAACCCTCCCTGGGCTCCCCTGCCCTGCCTGGGGCCGTCCTACAGAATGAATTTGCCCTGTCCCACAGGGACCTCTCTGCTGTTGTGATGGGCCCCCGTCTTCACTGCCCAAATCTGCTGCTGTGCCATGACCCACAGGGACCAGCACGAATGTGTCCTGCCAGAGCTGTCTCAGGTGCCTTCGTCTAAAAAGAGGATTTCTCTGCTTGTCTATTTTCTTAAATGGAGGCAGTAGGGGGGTTCCTGTCCCCTTCCACCGTGAGGCCCTTTTTCCCTGGTAGCTGGCCTGACCTGCAGTCCCAGGGCTGGAGCCATGGCCAGTGTAAGCTCTTTGCTCCTCACTGAAGGGAATCTAAACCAGTGTCAAGCCAAATTACCCACACTAAAGCAGAAATCCTTACTTTACAGCTTTGCAGCCCTCCTCAGTAGAAGAGCTGGACATTTTACTCCTATTCCTATTATTATCAATTATTTCTGAATATTTCTGAATAAGGAATTATCCTGAAGTATGAAGGGGTCTTCTCTAAGCATTCAAGTAAAAGAAATGGTTCAAGACATTATTCATTTTTTTTGCTGTCTCCCTTCAAATCCCGCCTGTCCCACTGCTGTACTGGAGGCTGCTTCTGAGCTGGAGGTAGAGCAAAAGCCAGAGGCTCTCTGCTCCCACGCAGGGCTATCACAGTCCTGCTTCAGCCTCTGCTTGTGGCTCAGGTTAAAACCTTGGACCCCAAGAGGGAGAAAGGCAATCTGTTGTTTCTTCTGAAACTTCCAGCATCTCAAATGCATTGGGATACTGGGTGCTAAATCCCCTCCTTTCTGCAGGAGAACAAACTAAAACATCTTCTTCTTTCTGTAAAAAGGGAGAGGGAATGCCACCTGTAGCTGTGTTGCTGCATAAGACAAGTTAAAAATCATACATACACACATCAGCATATACAGTGTGTTTGAATAACAAAAAAACCCCTACTTATAAATAATAGTCCCATTTCTTTTTTTTTTCCCCAACTACACCAAAGCTGTTCTGAAGCTGTGTGCTGCCCAGAGACACTGCTTGCTTGTTTTTATTGAAATGCTGAATTTCATTCTACTGAAGCAATGAACACAAACCACCTCACCGAAGCCACTTGCTGCTGAAAGGTTTTTTTGCGTTTCATGCGGTATCGTTATTTGTGCCCATCACTGCAGCATCTGAGCTTCAAACTGAGGAATATTGGGCTCATGCAGAGGCAGCATGTGTGAGTGTGAGAGGCAGGAATATTTAGTAGGAAAGCAAATAAACAAAATATGAATCTATCTCCGGCATGATTTTTTAAAGGGAATCATGGAAGTGTCTCTGTGGCAGGCAGACTTCCTCAAACTTTCCTTTAGCAGCAGCTACACATGAGACTTAGGGTGAGCAAGCAATAACAAAGACTGAGGGCAGCGTGGGTTATTTCAGTTTGTTCAGCTGAACCCGAGGAATGTTTTCACAGGTATGCGGGCAGAGTGTCTGGCTCTCAGGAAGGCAAACCTGCCAGGATCAGCTCCAGAGCACCCAGGGTGAACACAAAACAACGTTAGCCAGGTCCATGT